TTCTAACGAACACGGGACCGCCAACCTTAGCAAGGGAGACCGGGGACCGGCAACGTTAGGAAAAAAAAGAAGTGCTCCGGCGTCACTTGAAACTTGTCACCGTAGAACAGCAGCAGCTGCACGTTAGGATTCACGGCTTCGGCATGCAAGACAGCAGCGCTCGTCTATATTTATGGCAAATTCTCCTGCGTGTTAGCATGCATTTCCTGTGATCTTCGAAGATGCAGTTTGTGAATACCAAGTCTAACCGTGTTCGACCCCCCAAACCTCAAACCCTGAACCGTAGTAGAACCCTAGGCCCCAGACTGGCTTAAGAAGTAAGGTTCGGGTTGTCGATGTAGTTTGCACATTTAGGTTCGACGTCAGGGTTTCGGCTTCTGCTTGGCAGGAACACATGGAGAAAGACAAAGAGCTCCTAAAACAGAACACTGAGATGCTGCAGAGGCGCCCTCAGCGGTTTAGCTACTTCCAGGAAAGACGCCGCATCGTAGCTTCTCAAGACACTGGAGGTTCCCCTTCGTCCTCAGCCCTAAACCCCGAGATCCATCCCCAATGCCTAGACCCTAAACCCTAAACCCTAAACCCTAAACCCTAAACCCTAAACCCTAAACTCCTAAACCCTAAACCCTCGACTTAGGTCCTCCAGCCTTAGAAACCCCAGCGGCCTCATCCGCAATCGAAAGACCCAAGCCCCAAGCCCCCAAAGTCCCTTCTCCACCCTCAACCCTAAATCCTAAACCCTGAACCCTAAACCCTGAACCCTGAACCCTAAACCCTAAACCCTAAACCCTAAACCCGAAACCCTAAACCCTAAGCCCTGAATCCGAAACCCTAATCGGTCTCAAGCTCTGTGGCCCTGACGCCCAAACTCTCGTGAAGCCTTCAAGCTAATCCTACGCAAGCTCCTAAACCCCTAAATCCCAATTCAAACCCTAAACTCTTAGATCCCTACACCCTTAAGCCCCCAATCCTACACCCGAACAAGAAACGCAGCCCAAGCCTCGGAAGGATCACGCAGGGCCGTCTGGACGAGGCGTTAGGGCCTACCTGAAGCAGAGTTTTGCGCTTCAGGGCTTCAGGGTTGGGGTTCAGGGCTCATAAGGTTTTGGGCGGTTGCAAATATTTTCGTTGATGCACTGGTAACAGTCGCATTTGCGGCCGCATACCTAGCGACAGTCGCAGGCATGAGAAGTCTGACAACCATGGCGGACATGTGGTGGTGGTGGTGGTGGTGGTGGCGGTGGTGGTGTCTGGAATGTTGCCACTGTGAACGGCGATTCTGCTTGTGTTGTGGATGATGCGAGTGTTGCATTGACAGCAGAGAAACTAGTGGCAATAGTCGTGAGGTACAGTACGGACATGTTGTTATCGGCATTGTCGACGATGACGCGACCGCTGTGTGTAAGGTTTGTGTTTTGGTACAGCCAGCCCTAACGTGTTCATGGTTCTGGTACGGACGCCAGCATTTGAAAAACGAGCAGCAGGTCATGTTGGTGATCCTCATCGCACTCATACCCCCCCCCCCCAGCGCTCGCAGCAACTATGCTGCCAAAATTGATCGTGCAAGTTGCAGGGATAGTCGTAAACATGGAGTCACTGGCGAGGCGGTACTTCTTCTCATTGCTGCATATTGAGGTGAGAATGCTAACAGCAAAGACAGCATCGACACGCCCGTATCAGGCCGAGCACGGCGGCATAGATAACATAAATTTACGGATCGTAGCGATGATCGTGAACCCGGTGCCAGTTCTGATAACAACGAGAACAAGGGCAACGGTTCCGGCAGCGACAACCTTCAGCAGCTGAACTGACGTCGGAAGATTCACCTACCCTGAAACCCTGATGTCAAATCCCAAAGCCTACAGCCGTAAACCACCGAAGAATCCTAAAGCCCTCAACCTGGGAGGTTCAGCACCTCGAAAAGGGGCTTGGTGAGGCGGAGGTGCTGGGGGGCTTACGAGGGTCGAGGGTTTCTTTTGGGGGCTTACTCGGGCTTCATGTTTCGGGGTCAACTAGGGTTGGTCTTTCGGGTTTGGGGGCTGGGCTGGAGAGCTGGGTGCTAAGCCCTAAACCCTAAAGGAAGACCCAACCTGTTGAAAGTCACAGACTTGGCTTCAGACTGCTTTTTATCGACTCTTCAGTCGGCCTACCACTCGCAGAGGATAGAGGCGGGCTAAGGCCACAGCATGAACGTGAGCCGCAATTCGAAGTCGGGTCTGTGCCCGGTGAACTCGTCACGTTTCAAGGTCTGCCATGCCGTGGCAGCTTACCAGAGCCAAAGCCATGGCCCCTCATTTCCCCAGAGAGCTCAATACCCCTTAATTAAGGAATATTCCTTAAGTTATAGGGGCCTAAATATTATGATTTAAGGTATATTCCTTAACTAAGGGGTATTGAGCTCTCTGGGTCTTTTGCTGCACCAGGCGCAGATCCTGGTAATGAAGGAGAAGATTGGAGAGAAGCGGGGTGAGGCCAGGCGTCTGTGCGTTTTGTTCTGCAGAGCTGTGTATCGCTGGATTCAGATTTAGGGATCAAGACGGTCTATTTTGTGACAGTTTGTTGTCACCATCGTTTGCGATGATGGCCGGTATTCCACTTACCGACTCTCTTTTTGAAGTCATTGCTGTGGCTGTGACGATCCCTATTGTTCAGATTGCTCGTCCCAACATATCTGAGTCATACAGGGTGTTGGTGCGCCCTAAGCCCCCTTACCGTTTTACGGAGAAGATATGACAGCACGGCCATTTCGACTTTAAGCGGTTCGGGTTTGGGGTCCTGAGTTTGGGCTTTAACTGTTCAGGTGAGACTACCTGTCCACAGGGTCGCATGTGCGGGGCTACAATGTCCTAGCTGGAAATACGCTCTTTGCGCCCTAAATCCTAAACTCTAAGCTTCCAAAACCCCAAAGTCTAAGCTTCAGATCAGCATCTAGCCTTCTTGAACTTGAGGCTAAGTTTCTATGTCCTGCAAAAGCAAGAAGGTTCAGGGTCTACGTTTTTAGGGTTTAGCATGTAGGAGTTTAGAGACAAAGGCAGTGCAGCAATGGAAAGGAGGCATACAGCAGCGAGCAAGATGTTTCTCACGTCTGAAGCCCCAAACCCTAAACCCTAATCCCGAAAGCCCTAAACCCTAAACCCCAGACCTAAACCCTAAACAATGGTTGTTTCCTGGGCGAAAATAGACCCAAATACATCCCCATCCCAGGGGCAGCCGGTACGTTGACCCAACGCAGGGGTTTAGAGTTTAGGGCCGAGGTGTTTAGAGGTTTAGGGTTGGGGGTCAGGGTTTAGGTTCATGGGTAGTTATAAGTGGGGTTATAAGTAGGGCAACTGTAATTATAACCCTAATTAGAGGACCTATAGCCCTATTTATAACTACCCATGAACCTCCAAGTTCTAAACCCTAAACCCTAAACCCTCCTTCTGGACAGGTGGAGGTTGCCAAGCGGCAGAAAGATGAGCTGGAGCAGACGATGAAGGCAGCGGTTGGGCCTCGTTCGGTCTGGCGTAGGCTAGTTTGAGGTCCTTAGACACCCAAGGGGCCCCTACGATCGGGAATATACCTGAAGTTATGGGGGCTTTAATATGATGATCCCTAAACCCTAAACCCTAAACCCTAAACCCTAAACCCTATTATTCCTTAATTCTCTCTCTGTCGAAGCTGTGGGCTTGAAATAGAGCTCGGAATGGGTAGGAACAGCATGTGGGTTTTTGTATTTAGCGTTTATCTACACTGTACCCCAAACCCTAAACCCTAAACCCTAAACCCTAGACCCTAAACCCTAGTCTCACCATTAACGCCCCTTGCATGCGAGCTTCGAGCTGGTAGAGCTTGGGGCTGGGGTCGCGGGGTTTGGATACCACATGGGAAGCTTTGTGACCAGATCCCTGCAAAGCCATAGGACGAACCCCAATTATGCATGGTCAGGCTATAAACAATAAGTTTGCCAAAAGTTCAAATCTGCCGGGGAATGGTATTGCAGCACGAAGTTTGTCTAGAAGAGCATCAACTGGAAGAGTCGCAGCAGAGCAGCAGCTGGAGTCTAGACAGTGGTAGTTTTGCTGCTGCTGGTCTTTTGCTGCTGTTGCAAGGGCTGGTGTCGATGGTGGGCTGTACTTGGAGGTTCATGGGTAGTTACAAGTGGGGTTATAAGTAGGGTAAGTAGAGTTATAAGGAACACAAGCGCCAAGGATCAAGCTGTGCCACAGGCGGCCATGACAAGCCTCAGGAGTATAGGGGCCATGTCCGCGACATGTCAGTGACGCTTGAAGTGAAAGACTAAGCATGTATATATATATATATATATGTATAGCCGCATACGCCCGGATGCAAGACAGGCATGCCGAAGAACCCTGCACCATGCCGAATCTCCAAACCCTAGATCGAGGCAGCGAGGACCCCCAAACTGCAGGAGGACCCAAGGCAGGCGCCAGATGAGCTGTGCATCCCACCCTGACGCCTCAATACCCTAAACATCTATAAATCATGGAAACCCTGAATAAGGCACCCCCCACACCCTGCACCAGGAACCCCACACAGTAATCATCCCCAAACCCTGAACCTGCGATCTCACCCGAGGTCAATCGGTGCACACGAGCCGCACCCGAAAGTTTGAATCTGTGCGGAGTGTCGGGATTTGGAGGAGACACACATACGCTCGGCAGCGTGGCAGGGGCGGACCGCAGCATTAAGGCGATGCACATCCCCAAATCCGCGTGGCGGAATTTCGAGAACCACACCGAGGAGGCTTGCCCCTAAACCCTAAACCCTAAACCCTAAACCCTAAACCCTAAACCCTAAACCCTAAACCCCTAAACCCCTAAACCCTAAACCCCTAAACCCTAAACCCTATGGAGCGATTTGAAGGCCAAGCTGAGCGCGGGGGTTCTGGTGGGTGGCCATCCCGGCAGGACGGAGCCCCCCGAGCAGAAAAAGCAAAAAGCACAAGGTTTCAGTGTGCCATAAGCTCTAACTAGCCTAGAAGCCTTAAGCCCTAATCCCTAAACCCTATAAGCCTTGCGGAGAAAAGGCCAGTGCACATTAACAAAAAAAACCCTATAAGCCCCAATCCCTAAACCCTATAAGGCCTAAACCCTAAGCCCTATAAGCCCTAAACCCTCAGCCCTGAACCGCCAGGATTTGCGGGAAGAGAACGACCAGAAGCAGGAAGAGCTTGCGGCTGCCAGGAGGCCTCAGAGTGCAGGCTTAGGGTTTAGGGTTTAGGGTTTAGGTTTAGGGTTTAGGGTTTAGGGTTTATTGTTTAGGGTTTAGGGTTTAGGGGCCTTAATAATTAGAATAGAGTTTTGGGTTCCTTTGAAGGGTTTCTGACAGGGTTCTTTACAGGATCTACTGTGAAGGTATAATATAGGGGCCTTATTAATAATTCCAATAGGGTTTGGGGGGTGTATTATAGTATAATTATATCAAGGAACCCCAAAAACCCTATTCTAATTATTCAGGCCCCTATATTAGAGGCTTCTTTCCGCAGGTTTCTTGTTCTTATCAGTGTTTACATGTGGGAATTTCCGATAATAAGGGGTACCGTATTTTCGGGTCTGTTAGTAAGGATCCCACTATTTGGGGCACTACATTAGGGCCCCCTATTTTCGGAAACCCCCCATGTGTTAAAGGTTCTGGCAGGATTCAGAAGCCTTACTTGGAAGTTCATGGGTAGTTATAAGTGGGGTTATAAGTAGGGTGATTATAATTATAACCCTAATTAGGGGACTTATAACTCTACTTGTAACTACCCATGAACCTCCAAGTAATGGGTGTTTGAAGCTTTCCGAAGGGGCTTCAAGGGTTTCGGCTTCAATCCACGTCTACTCTCTGCGTCCTAGCAAGGCCTCAGCCCCGAAACTGTTGATGATATAAATCCTGCATTACCTTCAAGGACCCCAAACTATGGGAAGTATGGTATATTC